TAAGTGTTGGTGAGGATGTGGAGAAATTGGAACCATCATATATTGCTGATGTGAATGTAAAATGGAGACTTCACTTTGGAAAACAGTCTATCCATTCCTAAAAAGTTTAAACATACAGTTATCATGTAATCCATCAATTCTAAATTTATGTCCAAGAAAACTGAAAACATATGTCTACACAAAATTTTCTAATAGAATGCTCATGGCAGCATCATTCACAACAGCTGCAAAGTGGAAACAATCCGATGCCATCAACTAATAAAAGAATAACCAAAATGTGGTATATATATGTGCAATGAGATTGTATTTGACAAAAAAAGGAATGAAGTACTGTAACACGCTACATCTTGGAGGAACCGTGAAAAAAATGCTAAATGAAAGAAGCCAGTCAGATATTGTATAATTCCATTTATATGAAATGTTCAGAATTGGCAAATCTATAGAGACAAAAAGGTAGATTAGTGGTTGCCTAGGACTGGTGGGTTGGGGGAAAAAAGAAGAAAGATAATTAGAGAAATTTGAAGATCAACAGGGTAGTTGATATTAAGGAACTGTGTTAAGTTTCTTGGTGTGATAGTGGTACTGAGGTTACATTTATAAAAAGAGAATTCCTATTTTTTAGAAACACTCAAATATTTGTGGATGAAATAACTTGAATACTGTCTTGACCCCACCTATCCCTTGAAGTATCATTTTTCTGCCTCCTACCCTTACAACCAATTCCTCCCCAAGTTATCTATCCTCCCTCTCTCCAATTCTTTTCTTACTATTCTTTTTTGAACCCATTCCAATCAGGAATTTCATCCAATTTCATACTCACTACTCCAGTGTTATAAGCAATGGTCAATTATAGTCCATCAGCAATTGAAATGGCTGCTCTTCTTTGAACCTCCCCGCGGCTCCAACAACTCAAATTGGATTCTTTTCCTGATTTCCTCTTATTTCATCACCTTAGACATCTTTTTCAAATTTCTGTCTACACTCAATAAGTAGATGATCTGATGGCAATAAATACTCATTACATGCTGATGTCTCCCAAATTTCCATCTCCAACCTGGACCTTTCTTCTAAATTCAGGACCCCTATGTATCTTTTAAAAATAATTTTTTTTTTTTTTGAGACAGAGTCTCGCTTTGTTGCCCAGGCTAGAGTGAGTGCCGTGGCGTCAGCCTAGCTCACAGCAACCTCAAACTCCTGGGCTCAAGCAATCCTTCTGCCTCAGCCTCCCTGGTAGCTGGGACTACAGGCATGTGCCACCATGCCCGGCTAATTTTTTTTTTTTTTATATATATATATCAGTTGGCCAATTGATTTCTTTCTATTTATAGTAGAGACGGGGTCTCGCTCTTGCTCAGGCTGGTTTTGAACTCCTGACCTTGAGCAATCCGCCCGCCTCGGCCTCCCAAGAGCTAGGATTACAGGCGTGAGCCACAGCGCCCGGCCTTTTTTTTTTTTTTTTGAGACAGGGTTTTACTTTGTAGCCCAGGTGTGAAGGCAGTGGCGTGATCATAGTTCACTGCAACCTCAAAGTCCTGGGCTCAAGCAATCCTCCTGCTTCAGCCTCCAGAGTAGCTGGGTCTGCAACTGTGCACTACCATGCTCAGCTAATTTTTCTGAGATAGGGTCTTGTATGTTGTTTAGACTGGTCTTGAACTGATGAGTTCCAGCAATCCTCCTGCCTCAGCCTCCCAAAGTGCTAGGATTATAGGTGTGAGCCACCATGCCCAGCCAAGACTCCTCTGTATCTAACTGCCTTCTTTTTTTTGAGAAAGAGTCTCCCTCTGTTGCCTGGGCTAGAGTACCATCGCATCAACCTCGCTCAGCCGCCTGGGTAGCTGGGACTACAGGCATGTGCCACCAAGACCGGCTAATTTTTTAAAATATATTTTTAGTTGGCTAATTAATTTCTTTCTATTTTTAGTAGAGACAGGGGTCTCGCTCTTGCTCAGGCTGGTCTTGAACTCCTAACTTTGAGTGATCCTTCCGCCTCAGCCTCCCAGAGTGCTAGGATTACAGGCGTGAGTCATCACGCCTGGCCCTAACTGCCTTTTCATATTTCCATGTGGTAATCTAATAGGCACGTCAAACTTAACAGCACCAAAATGGAATTTGCTTTTCCCATCCCCAACCTTCTCTCCTTCATCGTTCCCATTTTCCTAAATGGCAACTCCATTTTTCAAGTCAAAAATCTTAAAGTCACCTTGGACTCCCTTCATTTTCTTACACTCTGTATAAATTGCCATCAAATACCATATGCCATCCTGTCTGAACATACTGCTTGCACCTTTCCCAAGCCACCGTTATGTCTCACCTGGAGTACTGCAATAGTTTCCTAAGTAGTTCCCTTTGCTCCCCAAGAATCTATTGTCAAAACACAAGCCAAAGCGATTCTTTAAAAAAAAAAAAAGTAAAATTATGTTACTTCTCTGCTCAAAACCTTCAATGGCTTCCCATCTTACTCAATAAAAGCCAAAGTCCTTACAATGGCCTATTAGTCCCTACCTAATTTAGTATCCTCTTACTGCTCTGACCTCAATTCCTACTTTTACCCTGCTTTACTCTGCTTCTGTCACTCTGGCCTCCTTTCTGTTCTTATACGTAGTAGGCATCCTCCTGCCCCAGAATGGTTTCTGCACTTGCTATTCTACCTAGAATTCCTGCTCCCCCAACAATGCATATTTCTTATTCCTTCATCTACTTCAGATCTTTGTATAATATTTACCTTCTCAGCAAGGTCCCTCTGGCATAAACAAAAACGTCATTTCCTACCCTCAGCATTCCCTACTTCCCCTCACTGCTTATTTTTTCCTGCAACACTTACCCTGTCATAGTATGTATTTTACTTCATTGTCCACTCATTCAGACTATGTCTATTTTTCTAAGGAATACCAAAGCAGAGTGGGAATTCTGGAGGTTCAGGTTCCAGTTGAAGCTTTGGTACCACAGGCATGTGACATTGGGCAAATATTTTCCTCTCTGGTTTTCAATTTCCTCATCTGCCAAAAGGAGATTATTTCCTTAAAAGATCTCACAGTATTTTTGAGAATATAAAATGAAAGATGAAGTGTTGAGTAGGGAAGGGTGTGTATTATTAATTTCTCCATTACATACAAAGATATATTTACCTATATTTGTTAAAGGCAATGAACAGACCTGTAACCAAATCTCTGGTTCTTTTAGGGACCTTGGAAGATGCAATTCTGCTGTGTTGAGCCTCTTATACACACTAGAAATGTGACAGTGAAAGCTCTTCATGTCAGCCTATTCTTTCTCCTGAGAAAAGTCACACTTACATGAGAATTTTTTCTTTCAGTAGCCTTGCCCACATCAGTGAATAGTCAGTCAGTGCCTTTGGGTGCCTAGCTTCCATGGCAGTTTTCTTTCCTAATCACTTGTATATACATGTGGTTGGTGAGCCTCCTCTCTGCCCATCTAGAACCCAGAGCCTTGATTTTCTCACCTTAAAATGGGGTGAATAACAACTGGCTCATGTCTATTTTGATGGATTCAATGACCTATCAATAATCTATCAATAAGTTACATAAAGCAATAATGCAATGCCTGGCATGTCTAGAGGCTGCCCTAAATGCTTTATATAAATGGAGTATATACTCAGCTTTCATTACCAGAGTCTACCTATTTAGCTATCTATGTATTTATTTAGAGACAGAATCTTGCTCTGTTGCTGAGGCTAGGGTGCCATGGCATCAGCCTAGTTCATAGCAACCTCAAACTCCTGGGCTCAAGTTATCTTCCTCCTCAGCCTCCCCAGTGGCTGGGACTACAGGCATGGGCCACCACACCCAGCTAATTTTTTCTATTTTTAGTAGAGATGGAGTCTCACTCTTGCTCAGGCTGGTCTCGAACTCCTGAGCTCAAGTGATCCTCCTGCCTAGGCCTTTCAGAGTGCTAGGATTATAGGCATGAGCCACTGCACCTGGTCCCCAGAGACACTTTCTAAAACAGTTCTTTCACCATGTCCACCTCACCCAAGTCAAGGACCTGAAACAGTATGTATCAAGTATGAATTTTTCTGCTTGGTTTCAAAATCTTCCCCATTCTACTAAAGGCTGGTTCTTTAAAAAATATTTTGTATGCCCATATTCACATCAGCATTATTCACAATAGCCCAAAGGTGGAAGTAATCCAGGTGGTATACATATACAATGGAATATCATTCAGCCTTAACAAGGAAGGACATTCAGGCACATACTACAAAATGGATAAACCTTGAGGAGACTATGTTATGTGAAACAAGCCAGACACAAAAGAACTAATACTTTATGATTCTATTTATTTTATGTACCTAGACAAATTCACAGAGACAGAAAGTAGAAAGGAGGTTACCAGGGCTAGAGGGAAAGGAGAATGAGGAATTGTTGTTTAATGGGTACAGAGCACGTTTTGCAAGATGAAAAGAATTCTGGAGATTGGTTGTACAATGTAAATGTACTTAACACTAATGAAGTATACACTCACAAATGGTTAAGATGCTATATTTTATGTTATGCAAATAAGAAAACAATCTTTTCCATCTTATTTATCAAAACTTCCTTTCCACTCTTCCCTTGTTATTTTTTCCCCCCACTTCAGTTACACTGCTCTCTTCCTAGTATCTTCCTTGAGCCTTTGCTCCATGGTGTTTCTTCTCTGCAATGTTTTCATAATCAACCATTTTCAAAAGGTTGCCTGTGCTTTAGTCCCAAAGGTGTCACCTTTTAGGTCCAATCAAGAGTTACATGCTCCAAGTGATCTTTACTCTTTTAAACCACACTCCTCTCCCTTTTCTACACTACACAGAAAGGCCTACACGTGGCTTTATTGCTTTGGCATAGCCTCTCCAGCCGTAACTCCTAAGGCCCTGAGGATGGGGACAGGATCTCACAGCTTTGCACCCCTTCCCCAACACATACCCACTAGAACAGAGCTCGGCACACAAGAGCTACAGTAAAAACTCAATGCATTGGACAGTGCATAATCTCAACACAATGTCAAATTACCGGCGAGCGTGGAGGCTTGACGAAGCAAAACCGTGGGTCCTTCAGGATCCTTGAAGACAACCCTGTAATTTGCATAGCTCTCTATCCTCCAAAATATTTTCCCACATGTCATCCGAAGGTTAACGTACGCGAGGGAGGACTGTAGCTGCGTTATTTGTGGAGGCGCTTAAGTAAGAAGGGACTCGTGCTGGCCGACTCAAGGGTCCTTGAGGCACGTACCGGGCCGTCTGTTTTCCTAAAAGGGCAAAGAACCGTTAACAAGTTGGGCTTCCGGCACAAGCCTTCGCGCCAGCTCGGGAAAGGAAGAGAGCGGCGATGCACAGCCCCGGTACGGGTAGTCGCAGGGCACAATTTCCTCACTGAAATCACCTGATGGGCAGGCGCTCGTAACCCAGAAGTGAAAGGCCGCTTCCTTCAGGTATTAGACGCCCCCATCAAAGGAAGTTCCAGCCAGACGACTTTTATCCAGGCTTTCCAGACTCCTCTTTATCTTTATTTATTTTTTTCAGATTCCTCCTTAGCTTCTATTACACTCCCTGCTTTCTGGTACCTTGTTGTGGCCGCTTAGATCCGACCCTCCTTGTCTAGCCCGAGTTTTGCTGCAACTCCCTAAGGGTCCTAACTACACTCTGGCCACTCTTTTCTTAAAGAACCTTCACCGTACGGGTCCCCATCAGGGTCAACTAACGTTCTCCGTGGGGGCAAAAGCTCTTAGGGCTTTCACCTCTCGAAACCCAAGGCAGTCAGGCCGGCGCCTGTGCGGGGCGTTACCATAGAGAGGCAGCCTCCTCTCTGGTCTCGGTTTACACTCTCTATGGTGCGGCCGGGTCGGTGGCGGTAAGGAGAAAAAGGGAGACCGCACTGCGCAGGCGCTCTTGGCTCTCGCTCGCTCGCGCGCGCTCTCTCTCGCTCTTTTTTTTTTTTTTTTTTTAATCCTAGCACCAAGTGCTTAACCTCATTGGGGTGGAGGAGAAGGCGGCGGCTGTCTGGTCCGCAGCGGCAACAGTAGCGCAAGATGGGGCTGTAAGTACCCGGCTAGGGCGAGCAGGTTCCGACCCCAGCCCTCCAGAGCCCCCTGGCCCCTCCCCCGCCCGGCCTGAGTGGGGACGTTGTCCAGCTCAGTCATCGGCTCTTGGGTGCACTTTGGGGGGAGGGGGCGGCCCTTAGGTGGGAGCGGGGCGAGCAGCGGATGCGAGGGCTGTTTATCCAGCCAGTTGGGCGCTGATCCCAGGCTGCTTTGCTGAGGGAGTGGGGGCGGCTGCGGGGTCAGCCGGGCTTTGTGTGCCCCTCTCTCTGTCCCTCTCCCAGACCCCACCCCGGCCCCCTTCCTGAAGCTCCCGGGCCAGGCGGGAGAAGCCGGCAAAGCCCGGTAGCGTTTGAAAGGAGCCAGGCATTGCTAGGGGAGGGGGCGAGGAAGAGAAATCCTTAACAACTAGTCATCGGCGAGTGATGGGTGTGGAGAAAGATCTAGAGGGAAGGGGTGTTGGGGAAGCAGGCGGCCGGGGCTCCTAGCCCGGCCAGACAAAAGCGGAGCAAGCGGCGCTGAGCGGAGCAGCCGGCCTGGTGGGATATGGAGGGTCCCCTTGGTCCCCGGGGCCCTCTGAGAGCTTCTTTTCGAAGCTGGGAAAGCGAACAAGTGCTGAGTTAAGCCTGTGCAGCCTTCTCAACTTGCCTTTGTTGTTCTTTGGTATTGGCAGAGACGCTCTGACGAAGATGAGTGTGTGATCTTGCACGTTAGCCTAGCTAGGTACAATGGAGCTAATTGAATTTTGCTTTCCATTTTCTGAGCTGCTGGGATGAGTATGGGGTTTTCCAAAGTCTAACTTATTATATAATATTTTAAAAATAATTGTGTTTATTTCTAAAAAAAAAAAATTAGGTGGAGCCGTCAAGCATGTTGTGTTACATCTTGGTGAGTTTCTTTGTAGTGTGTTTCGTACATTTACTGACCATTCTGTAGAACTTGTGAGCTCTTTAAAACATGATACTTTAATTTGTAGATGTGGCAGTGAAAGCTTCGGATTCTCTAATCCTTTGGGAGGCAGTGATGCAGAAGAGTCAAAAGCGAGAAATAGTTTCTTGCTGCCATATACCCTGCTCCATATTTGAGTGCCACAGTCCTGTATCAATTCTGGCTTTGGAAATCGTTGTTTTTATTACTGTTATTATTCCTGACATTCACTGAGTCACTGAGCTCTTGGTGTGAGGAATCATGGGCAGTGGGCTCCATTTGCTGATCAAGGGAGTGGGAGAACAGTAACATTGATGCAGAGACCATATAGATAGGAAAAATAGCATAGTTGCCTGGAGTACTGAATATTATTTATGTTCTGCGTTTGCTAAGAAAGATTTAAATTTTGATGAGCTGTTTGTTTATCCCTCCTTGTAAAATTGTGTAATTGCACCTTTTTAGCAGTTATTACTCAAATCTCAGTTTCTATAACTCATTGTTATAGGCTAACATGTAACATTGTTTTAGAATTTTAAAGTTTTCATTTTTTTTAGAAGTTTTCAGCTTTAGCTTTTAATTCTCCGAACTAAGTTTAAACGAAGTCAGAACTCCTTTGAAGAGATTTTTGTTGGTGGTGGAGGTGTCAAATATTGTATCTCTGTACCATTTAAAGTGGAGAATACCAAAAAGGCTTTTGCCAAGTTTACATCACAAATTTGTGTTAGAACTGAAAATCCAGGTCTCCTAGTATGTCAGGCGTTTGCATTAACCCACAAATTCAACTTTATTTGTGCAAAAGAGGTAAGCATTTTTTGTACTGATAGCAAGCAAAAATCTGAAGCTTGATTTGTTATGCTTCAGTTAACTACTGTGATAGAATCTCTTAAGTGTAGTTCATATGATGAGACCTTGCTTTTTATAGAACAAGATTTCAGATCCTTAAAATAGTTTGATAGGGATGTTGAGAAATGATTGGCCAGAATGTTAAGTTTATTGTTTAAGTGTATCATATTTTGTTCACTGGTTTGGGATTTAGATTTTTTGCTTCAGTCTTGTTAATTCTATTTTCTTAGGTAGCTCAGTGTCAGTGTCATGATTCATAAGTTGAGTGAGGTAGTTTCTTGGGCCTGATAATTAAATTTATTGTTTGAGATGCCATTTATTCTTAATTGTCTTCTTAATATCATAGTTTTTAAGATTATGATACTTTTTATTTTGTAGCACAATTGGCAAATACTATAACTATTTAAGGGATTATAAATATTAGGCTCAGGGCTGAGTTATTGAAACTGCCAGTATTGATAATTGCAAGTCTAGTTGTCTAATTAAATAGTGGAAATAGTAGACAGTAGTGAAACAAATGTTTTAAAAAAAATCACTTAAAAGATTTCCTAGAAAATAAGAGAATGATCTATTAGTCTTAAAAACTAAGCAAAGAAGAAATCATTCAGGATACAGTTTTTGGTTTGTAAAATGTCATTTATTATAACTTTTCTTTACCCAGTGCTAGTAGGTCATCATTGATAAAGAATGTGCATATGTGTTTGACTAAATGACCTCAAAAGTGCCAGAATTTTCCTGATTGTTTCTAGCTGGTTCTTCACCACCCCAGGACTTTCCTGGCCCCTTAATGTTCATCCATTACTGCCATACGGTATGATTTTCCTCCCCAAATTCTTACAGCAGCCCACACCGACCTCCCCCTTTGAATCTTTAAAGCTCTAGCTCAAATGTGCTCAAATAGTGGCATTTTTTCCATAACACCTTTGTTAACTTCTGTCTTGTTTTCCTGCCTGGAAGTCCCCTTGCAGTTTCCTATTGTGTCCATCACCTTCCTCCTTGCTCAGATTTTCTCCTGTGCATTTACTCTTCTGTAGATCCTTGAGGGCCCAGGGAGTCTGTAGAACACATTGTGGTGTTCTCTCGTTTGGTAGTTTATATAACTAGTGGAAACTGTAGAATGTATGAAAGAATAAACAAATGTATCATAATTTAGACTAACAGAATTTGAGCCTTGAAGGAGCTCTTAGAGGTCTGGTAGTCCAACATTCTTTCTTATGTCTGCTACATTCCGGTCAGCAACCTCAAACAAAGCAGGCAGGCTTCTCTGTTCCTGGACAGGTCACTGTTGTCAGAAATGTTTTTAGACTGTACCGAAATCTGCCTCTCCCCTTTTACCTGTTGACCTTAGTTATAACTCCTGAAGCAACGTTAATTAAGTCCGTTTCTTCTCCACATAATAGCTCTTTGTATTTCCCAGGATACTCATCAGGCCTTTTCTAGATTTATTGATTAATTTATTTACTAAACCCTCTCTTAAGGTACCAGGTATCAAGAGGGTACAGTTGAAGACACACATGGCCCCTGCACTTCAGGGACTCACAGTCTAGTATGGGAGACAACCATTGGTTGATGGTCAGTTATACTGAAAGTATGCAAACAGCCCTGAATCCTTAGTGCTGTCCTGGTTTAATATGGGCTCACTATGCTTTCTTTAGACAACTCTGTATTTTTAGTGTCCTTTAAGTACAATGTCTGAACTAAAACAGTAGACTTTGATAAGACCTCACCGGAGTATACATCTATGCCACTTACTAGTCTTGTGACTTTGGGCCAATGAAATAATCTTTATTTTAGTGTCTTCATCTATAAAATGAGGGTGAGAGTGAGGGGAGGGTGGGTGATGTTAGTAGTAGCACCTACTTATAGGGTTGTTGTAAGGATTAAATGAGATAATACATATAAAGTGCTGAGACAGTGGCATATATTAAGTGGGTAATAGTTGGTAGGAGTTAATATTAACAGTGTAGTAGTAGCAGTAATCAAGTTACCAGAATCACTGTGGGAACTTGTTAAAATACAAATGGCCTGGCCTTTATTTTACTCTCTTTTATCCAGAGAATTTGATTAGTTAAGTCAGCATGGGACTTGGGCAGCCACACTTTGAACAGTTCCCAGGTGATTCTTAGATACCTCAAAGGTTGAGAACGCTGCACTCTATATTAATTGCTGTCAGTGATTGCATTAAATTTTACAAATTTAAATTTTAAAAATTCCCTAAGAAATAGGTGAATAGATTCTCCTAAAAGATTCAAACAATGCAGATAAAATGAAAGACATAGCTCCCAAGGAATGACCCCCAATCTCAGCCCCCTTTGGAAAAATACTCCCTTATCAGTTTGGGATGTATCCTATATACTATGTAACCCTTTTTCATATAAATATATAAATGAATGTCTTCATATAGTAGTAGATTTAAAAGATAAAAATGATTTTCAAAGCCTTTTTACAGTCATAATCTTCTTTGCTCCCTTCTAAGTCCTGTGAGGTGGGTAGGGAAGATAGCATCATGATCTTGTCAATTTGCAGATGAGAAACCAAGGCCTGCAATTGAAATCCAGTCCTGATTGAACTAGAATGAGAACTGGGCCTTCTTCTCTCAGCCTAATGTTCTTTTTATGTAAACCACACTGTCTTCTTGCTACGTGATTTTGTTGGCTTATATTGAAGTTGTGGTTCATGAAGTCTTCTGATCTTTTTGCCATGTGAATAGCTACCAAATCAGATTTTCTTCTTTCCTTTAGTGCATGTATACTGATTTTAAAAAAGGTAAATTCAAAGTTTTATATCTCTATTAGGATTTATCTTTTGGGGAAAGAAATCAAGAACTGGCCTTCTGGTTGTCTGATAGCATGACACATTTGGGTGAGTCTGTCTTGGTTCAGGATAGCCGAGGTCAATGTATGCATTTTCCACCTGTCTCTCTAACTGCTGTCCAATGGACTCTCCAGGCTATTTATTTATAGTCCTATTACAAAAATATGGCAATAATATAGAAAGTTGAGAGACAACTAGAGGAAAACTCACATCAAACCATCCCCATTATTTCCTAATGTGTTATCTTTTGAGACTGTCCACGTTCCATACTTTTTAGTAAGTAATTTTAGGTCTTGCATGTTTTATAAATAATTTCCTTGTAACCACATAGTATGCATTATTTTAGTTTTTAGTAGCTTTGTCATTTTGAGTTGATATGGCAATTTTTTTTTTTTTTTTTTTTACTTTTCAATAT